TTCGGCGCTTTTGCGGAAAAGGGGAGAGGAAGCTGAGTTTATGTCCCTTTTCAGTTTTTTAAGATTTAAATAAAATGCTGAGATACATATATGATATACAGATGATAATTTAAATGCAATTTATATGAGTTATCCTACTCTTAATTTGATTAGAGGAAATTATAATATATTTGTCTGAATTTCATATTGTCTTATCCCCTTAACAGATAGAAAAATGCTCAAATTAAACATGACGCAGATGACGAATCTAAAAAAAGAAAGAAAGAAAAAAAAACGTTCTTCTCATCTCACCTCCTGGATGCTTGTGCCATTGACAGAACCTTCCAGAAGCTCTCTCTTGGTCCGCGACTCCTTTCCCTCCTCCTCGGCGGTCGGGTAGACGATCCTGTCCTCCTCCTCGGCCTCGGCATCAGTGCTGTTGGAGAGGATCCCCGAGGAGGGCAGGCGCGATCGGGGGTCGATGAGGGACGAAGGGTCCACGTGATGAGGGTCGTTGCTCCTCGGAATGACGTCGAGGGCGGCGCAGAAGGAGGGGTGGACGCACTGGCACTCTTCTGCGTACCAAGGGCGCTGGGTAGGTCTTTGGTAGGGCGGTTGGGGCGCGGCGCCAATGCCTACGTCCACGCTACCGCCCGTGTTGTGGTGGTGTGGGGTGTGGAATGTGCTGTACCACGGGGGTCGAGGTGTAATGGGGCGCGGGGGTTGGGGTGAATAGTGGGCAGGGGTCGGGGTGGAGGGGTGTAGTGAGGCTTTGAGGGTGGTGGGCGGTAGTGGTTGGGCTGGTGGCTGCCGTGTGAGGGCGTGAACGAGGATTGGAAAGGCCTCTGGTACTGGCCTCCATGTGGAACTTTCGGCGGTTTGGGTGGACACTGTCAAAAATGTAGAAAATAAAATATGTAAGAATTAAGAAATATAACATGAATAACATGAAAGCAAACTGTCACTCTAAAGTATGGCATAAACCACTTACATTGATCCCAATCCCGATGGCACACAGGTTGAAGAACCTCGGGTGAAGTTCTTCATCCTCGGCATCCAGGGCCTTCGAACTGCCCTCCGAAGTCCCCTGAAGAGGTCCAGTCACCCTCGGCGTCCTTGGAGTCTCATCGGCAGGGGCAGGATCCGGCTCATCGGAACCCCATGACCAGTTCTGGCCGTGTGCTGCCGTGATCGCCAGCAGCACCAAACACGCTATTTTCATTGTTAGAAGATGGAAAGCGTGTTATAATTGCGTCTTACCCATTCCATTTCTTTTCAAAAGCAGAAACCAGAAAAGTCTTAGGAAATATATACACCAACACTAACATGAACTTACAGGAGTATTTTTTTCGATACATCTTACCAACGGAGCTTAAGGTCAAGTCAAGTGCCTGTTTGTCGAGGAAGTTCAGACGGCTTCGAAACGCCGCTTGCTGTCAGTCGACGTAAGTGAAGATTCATCCGTGTCACAGTCGAGTTAGCTCATTCCACCTCCTCGCTTTGCTTTGTTCATTTTACTCTTTCTAAATAGCTTTACATTTTATGGAGTTGATGGAATCTGAGTCTTGGATAAATGTCGTTGCAGTCACATTACGTGGACAGAATTTTGAGAGGAAAACAAGAATACAACATGTATGGTTATAATACAGATGGAGACACGAAGAAAACCTTACGAATGTGCTTCTATGAAAAAGGATGCAGTTGTATGTTTAAATAGGTACTACTCGCTATATTTGTAATTGTGCATAAAGACAAAGTCGAGTAAACACTGCAAAAAGAATGGGGGAGATAACGAAAAGGAAAAAAATAATACTAAAGAAAATATGAAGAAAAGAGATACAAGATACTAAATTGAGAAAAATAAAGGAAAAAAATAACACGAGAATAAATAAATAACAGAGACGAGAAAAAGAAGCTAAAAAGTGAAAAAAGGCCTAAGCTTCATCCAGAGGTACACAGGCCAGTACACAGCAAGCGCTCAGTTCAGTCTCGCCGTCTTCACACGTCGCCCCCTTCACCTTCACCACATGTTACGTCTGTGAACTTCTTCGTACAAAAAGGTGTACTGCAGGATGACAACAACGTCGTTACGTCAGAGGGGAAGAAAGTGCACTGAATCCCATGCACGGCGTAAAGGAGAGTGTGATTAAGCCTGATTCTTAATTGAGTTGGCTTGGATGTGATTGTATTACCTTTTGGATATTCGTTTCGTATGGCGATTTCCGTCATATGTGCGAGTAATGAAAGTTCGAAATGAACGAGTGTTTTTACTTTAGCAATCACTGCTAAAAAGGGATAGCAAGAAGAAGAAAAAAAGTAATGAAAATGCACTTACTTGCAAACTTCATGTCGACAGCCTCTTGACACTAATAAACCAATGGATAAACTAATAAAAACAAATAACAACAATAACAAGAAAAAATTGACTGTAGCTAAACTGAAGTAACGCCCACACCCCCACTCTCTCGCTGTTCGGTCGACTCTGAGCAGCAAAACGGGCGGTACACCTTTTATATTACCTCTCTTGGGTCGACCTTCACTCCCCCTCCTCCTCCTCCTCCTCTACCTTCCTCCCTCCTTCCCCCTCTTCCTTTCCTCCCTTCCCCAATTAGCGCCCTCTCTTTCCTCTGCCTCTGTGGATTCCCTACTTATTATTTTTCTTTAATTCTATGTTTGTTCTTTGGTGGCCCTACTCCTCCCCTCGTGACTAATCCATTTCATTTCTTTATTTCTGTTTGTTTACGTTTAACGTTTATCTGTATTTTTAAAACTTATTTGTGTGTTTTGTTCTGTATTAAAAGCAATTTCGATGATATTGATGTAATTATGTCTATTTAAATGTGGTCTTGTCAGGAAAATTTATTGATTTGTATGCTATTTTGTTTTTTACTGTTTCTCTTTCTGTCTGTCTTCTTATCTGTCTGGCTGCCTCTCTGCCTGTCAGTCTGTTTATCTGTTTGCCTCTCTCTCTCTCTCTCTTTCTCTCTCTCTCTCTCTCTCTCTCTTCTCTCTCTATCTCTCTCTTCTCTCTCTCTCGCTCTGTCTCTCTCTCTCTCTCTCTCTCTCTCTCTCTCTCTCTCTCTCTCTCTCTCTCTCTCTCTCTCTCTCTCTCTCTCTCTCTCTTCTCTCTCCCTCTCTCTCTCTCTCTCTCTCTCTCTCAGACCCTTCCATCTAAATTATACTCTCAGACTGGGCCTTCCTTCCTTCCTCCATTTCTGCAGACCTCTCCTGTCTACTTATTTTTACTTTATCCTTGAATTATCATAATAGGTAGGTTGGTTTGTTCTGTTTATCCTCATAAGTTGACGTTTCTACAAAAAAACGGTTGTTTATGCTGCAATACAAGTGCTCCATTTGCTACTGTTATTTCTAAGTGATGTAAGAAGAAGGATAATAATTAAAAGAATTAAAAGACTAAAAGGAAATCCAGTTTTATGATAATTCGTTTCATCAGACTCTTTTAATTTCCGTGTTATATTTTGTGTTACCTTTTTTTTCCACTCCTCTTCACGTCCTCTTGCCTTCTCCTTCACCTTCGATGAAAGAGGCGAAGGAAACTCCAACATCCGGTTGCATCATGAGATAAAGGTGCAACATTGACTGACAAGTTGCAAGGTCAGGGTTGGGAGGAAAGAAGGAGGGAGGGGAAGAGAAAGGGGGAGGGAGGGAAAGACGAAAGGGGAGGGGGAGGGGGAGGAAGGGGAAGAACGGACGGGAAGGGGAGGGGAAGGGTTAGGGTGGGGAGAGGGGGGGGAGGAGAGTTCATCCATTCATCCATTGTTGCTGAAAAAAATCTCAATGGCTTTCTCGCGACAAACAAGCAGCTTATGACATTGAGGTTTTGTCTATTTGTATACCAAATAAATACCTGAATATCTCAACGAACAAACTATAAATTAATGAACTGAATGTGTGAATAATTACTTAGAAAAATAGATAACCATATGTAGATAAATGCATATATACTAAATACATACACTAACATGTGCTGTAGGTATCTCTCTTGCGGATACCTCCTTATTGGCGTTGAAATTCCCACGTGTGTACATATGTAAGTGTCTGTGCGCGTGTCCATAACCTATTACGTACACCAGGGCGATGACTCAGAGAGCTGCTCAGGATCCATGAAATCAGCTGATCCAAGATGTACATGGTTCAAAATGAAGGTTAATGTGACATAAGCGATTTGGAAAAATTACGATTATTAGTTTTGTAATTCACGTGTTTTTTTGTTTGTGTCGTCGGTCGGTTTTTTTTTTTCTTTCTTTCTTTTTCTTTTTTTAGTAGTAGTAGTAGTAGTAGCAGTAGTCTATTATTTGCTTTATTATCGTCCATAGTCGTAGTAGTTGCTGGAGTAGCAGTAAAAGTAAAAGTGCGATTTCTATTTTCATTTACTATCATTGTTGCTTTTATAATCACTGTTGCTGATGTTACTGTTGTTGCTTTTATACTGTCTTTATTGATCTTGCTTTCATGCCTGGTATTTTTCATCATTGCTGTTGTTTTGATGTTGCTATTAATATCAGTGACGCCATTGCTGTCGTTGTTATTACCACCATTATCATTATTATTATAACTATCATTATTATTATTATTATTACAATCATTATCATGATCAATTATCATTATCATTGTTGATGTTGCTTTGTTGTTGTTGTCGCTGTTGTTATCATTTTTATCATTGTTATTGTTACTATTATTATTGTTAATATTATTGATACTATCATTATCCTTTTTTATTATTATTATTGTCATTATCACTATCATTATCTTTTGTATCACTGCTATTATTATAACTGTATTCATCTAATCCATTGTTATTGTTACCACTAGTATCATTAGTATTCCTATCATTATTGCCAACCTATCTTATCATCAGAACTATTCTCCTATCGCTATCAGCATCCTATCACTTTAATATCACAACCTATTTTTATCGTTATTAACAACCTATCATCACTGCAGCTCCTATCCTCCTATCATTATCCTCATATTATGTTATATTCTAGAAATTCTGCGGGGCTGTCATGCTCTGTCATGTGCCTCTCTCGCCTGTCATATTCACGTGCCATCAGCTATGATTGGGTGACCTTTGGGTGTCAGCCTCCAGTCCTCACCTTATATTATATCCCCTGTTTTTTTCTTCTTTTTCTTCTTCTTCTTCTTTTCTTTTTTTGCGAATGGTTTGTTTATTCTTTTCGGTGTGCTTTGTTTGTTTGTTTGCTTGTTTTTCATTTGTTTATAAAACTCGTGTATTCATTTCCACTCATTTTTTTTCGGTTATTATCATTCTTGTTCCTTTGGTAAATCTCTTGGGTTCTTTCTTTTTCCCCTCTCGCCTCTTTTTTATATATTCCGTTTTCATTTTGTGACATATTCCATTTTTATAGATGAAGGTATTATATTTTTTTTCCAGTGTTGCTTCGCGTGGGGAAATGGTGAATAAGAATAAATTAGGAAAATGGTCTTAGTCCTTATCGTGGTTTATGTTCTAGCCTCTCTTTGCTCTTCTTTTCCTTCTCCTCTCTTTATTTATATTCATTTTACTTTCATTATCATTTATACATATATATTTTTTTTCCTTTTTATTATTATTATTTTTTTCTTTTTTTGGCAGAATTATCTCTTTATTTTATCTGCCTCTCTCTTACGTTATTTGTTTCATTATATCACTCACTGTCTGCCCATCTACGTATCTTTTCTATTTTTCTCTTTATCTCTCCATTTATTATCTATTCGTCTGTTTATCTTTCTAATTCTGTATATTCCCAGATCTCTCACTCTATCTATCTAGCTAGTTATCTGGCTCTTTGTATCTATGTATCCACCACTTTTATTCTCTTGCATCTCTCTCTCTATATCTATCTACCTATCTCTGTTGCTCTCTCTATCTCTCTCTCTCTCTTTCTCTTTCTCTTTCTCTTTCTCTTTCTCTTTCTCTTTCTCTCTCTCTCTCTCTCTCTCTCTCTCTCTCTCTNGTGTGTAGTAGTGAGTTTGAGTGTTGTCTGTTTGCGTGTATGAGTGTGTGTAATCCTGTGTGTGTGTGTCGTACAATATATATGTGTGTGTTATATGTGTTTTGCAGTATACGTTGTATAGATATACATATATACATAAATATATTGCGGATACGTGTTTGTGTGTGATACAGTACAGATACACATGCATATGCATATATAATTGAATGGAAAGATAGACAGATACACAAACGGTGACTGATAGATCTATGGATGAACATGTAGGTACAGATACACTTAAGGACATAGGCCTATACTCTTCTCGGTGAGCGTATCCGTAAAATATTTATTCATATCAGTTATTATCATAAAAAACATACAGATTATTGATAGCTTGTTCGATATAATCTCTATTTAGTTGTCTCAACATCCTTGTCTCAATCTCCACACCTTTCTTCTCTTCTCTCTCTCCTCTCCCCGCGTCTCTCTTCTCTCTCCCTCTCTCTCTCCTTCTCTCTCTTCTCTCTCTCTCTCATCTCTCTCTATCCTCTTCGTCCTCTTCCTCTCTTCTCTCTCTCCTCTATATATATAAACTATATATATATAATTATATAATAATATATATTATTATATATATTTATATATATATATATATACATATATATATATTATATATATATATATATATATATATATAAATATAATATAACAGGCTATCCGTACTCTCTCTCTCTCCTCTCTCTCTCTCTCTCTCTCATTTTCAATTTTTCCTAGTATATAATTATATATATATATAGTATATATTATATATATATATAGTAATATATATTTATTATACTAATATAACAGCGTACTTCTCTCTCTCTCTCTCCTCTCCTCTTCTTCATCTCACTTCGTCTCTCTTCTCTTCTCTCTCTCTCGTTATCCCTCTTCCTCTCTCTCACTCTCTCTCGATTCTCTCATATACAATATATAAACAGCCTAACTCTCTCTCCTTCTCTCCTCCTCTCTCTCCTCCTCTCCCTCTCTTTCTCTCTCTCTCTCATCCCGATCTTACTCGTCTGCTCTTCTCTCGCTCTCTCCTTCTCTCTCTCTCCTCTGTCCCTCATCCGCTCTCGTCTCTCTCTCTCTCTCCTTCTTGGACCTCCTTTCTGCTCCGTTCTCCTCCGTACCTCTCTCTCCTCCCTCCCTTCTCTTCCCCTTCTCTTCTCCCCTCTCTCCCTCTCTCTCCTCTCTCTCCCTCTCTCTCCTCTCTCTCTCTCTCCCTCTTCTCTCTCCCCTTCTTCTCTCTCTCCCTCTCCTCTTCTCCCTCTTCTCTCTCCCTCTCTCTCTCTCCCTCCTCTCTCTCCTCTCCCTCTCTCCCTCTCTCTCCTCTCTCTCTCTCTAGCCCTCTCCCTGCTCTCCCTCCCTCCCTCTCTCCCTGTTCTCTCTCTCCTCTGCTCTTCCCCTCTCCTCCTCCTCTCTCCTCTTCTCTCTCTCTCTCTCTCTCTCTCTCTCTCCCTCTCTCTCTCTCCTCTCTCTCTCTCTTCTCTCTCTTCTCTCTCTCTCTCTCTCCTCTCTCTCTCTCCCGTCTCTCTCTCTCTTCTCTCTCTCCCTCTCTCTCTCTCCCTCTCTCTCTCTCCCTCTCTCTCTCTCTCTCTCTCTCTCTCTCTCTCTCTCTCTCTCTCTCTCTCTCTCTCTCTCTCTCTCTCTCTCTCTCTCTCTCTCTCTCTCTCTCTCTCTCTCATAATAAATAAAAACTGAACACCAATTGTTTGAATCTTCAATTTGCAAACAAGATAGTAAGATATCAAATTCTTTTTAAAGTCTTACAAGGAAAATCTTAAGAGTGTTAATTTTCTTTTGATATCGAAAAAAACTCGTCATCATTTAGCTTCCAGAGGCTCGTTGGTGTAAACATGAATTTCCATATGTATATGTACCGATCTTCTTGTATTTACTTACGATGCTTATTACTGCAAATTCACAAGATTGCTGTTGAACATTCGAATTAATTCTGGATTATAATTTTAGGTTCATGAGATTCTGAAAATGGTTGTGTTTGAGTCTTCGATGATTACTTGAGCTTGGGTTATATATATATATAAATTTCTTTCTTTCTTTCTGTGGGATAAACAGTCGTGACAATTTTTTTTAGCGTGTTGGCAGAATCTATTTTGCGCTTTATTTACACGCCAATCCTTCCCACACATCTACGCAAATTCTTTTATTTTGATATGTCATTCTCACCCTAAGACGAAAGGTAAACAAAACAAAACAAAACGAAAAAACAGACGAAAAGGAATAATCTCCATATCCAAACTACACAATAATACATCTCCATCTAGCCTACGCATTTTCGGCCGAAATTTCCTCTACGAGCTATTACGAGAGAGATTAATGGTCTTCCTCCAAGGATAAGAAAGAAGATAAGCTCACCAACCTTGGCGGATTCCATCGTTGGCGTGGCGGTGGTCGAAGGCTGGTTGGCAGATGTCGTGTCTTCCATTGTCACTTTATCTCTAGCCCTTGCATATCCTTCTGTTAACGTTGCTGTCTCTAGAGCACTGGTGTCTGTATGTCATAATCAAGTATGCGTTTGTATATCCATATGGGTTATCTGGAAGGAGGAAGAAAATGACGCAACATGTATATACAAATTAGGGGAAAATAGCGATGGGTTTATCTGCTATGTTTTCTAGTATATTAAGACGATAAGCAGACGCTATCACTCTTTTTATTATCTATAGTATCTTCAAACTTTCTCACTGGAAGTCCGGCAAGCAGTCACGCCAAGACGGAGCTGTGTGACTGAAGCTGCTGGTGGTCGCACTGCCTTCACTTTTAGTCTTTTTTTATCTTATGCAAATGAGATCACTATTGAACACGCCTAATACACTCATTCGGAGCCACGCGCTGCGTATGGCTACAGCATCACGTCATCCTCTAGTGTTCTGTGCGTCGATACACGTGGGATATATCTCTCACAGTCCCGGAGTCCAAGCTAAGCCTTCAAAGAGGCCCGTAAACCCAGGGCAATCCGACAGCCAGCCGACACTCACGCACTGCTGGCCGCGGCGCCTAAATAAACAGTGCTCGCGAGGCAGCCACCCCACCTCCCAGTCGTGTTCGCCATATGCCGCCTCTTCCTCCTCGGACACCGCCCCTGGAAATGCCTCGATCTGCCTCGATCTCCTCCTGCTGGAGAGCTGGGCCACGCCACGTCCTTCGGGCCTGGCTGACGGAGGCCTAGGAGGCTGCATCCCACCCTGCAGCCATGGCAGGTTCGGGCCCAGATTGCCTGTCCGATACTGCACGCCCACACGCCTTGATGGGGCTGATTGGGGCGGGGAAGACGGGGAGATTTCAACGCTGCAGAGGGTAGTAATCCAAAAAGGCTGCTGCATGGGCGTGGTCACCGGGGGATAAAGTTCATTTCCCGTGAATTTTATAAAAGCAACTCGACGACGGTAAACAAGATCACATAAGAAGATAAATGCACTAGTCACGTGTAAGAAAAAGCCACTAACACATCTTTTTTTTCCTCTCGAACTTATCCCATATCGATGCTCACTTCACACCGTGTTCCTCTCTCCCTCTTCGCCCTCCGCGACCCGACAGAGGAGAGGAGCGATCGTGTTCACAGCGCATGGGCTCTAACGGAGAACTGCGGAGGTGCTGACTCTAATAACGCGACAGCACGTGTAGAATGTGCAGTCACACCGCCACTCGCTCTCCCGGCCGTCCGTCCGTCTTCGCTCTTACCTCCTACAGCACTAGTGGTCCCCCTCGGTCGGCCATTCTCCCTCCTCCTTCCTTGCTCGTGTCGGTAGTTCTCATTCTTCGCTCTTCCGGTCTGGCTGCCGAATTATCACGACTAATAATATAATATATTACCGCGGGTGTGCCTCCTCGAATTATCCGCCGATCCCATTGGCCGGAGCCACCGTGACGTCACCCGTCTGCCGTCGCTGATTGGCCGAGCGCACGAGAGTGACAGTATTCCGGCGCGCTGATTGGTCGACCCTGAGAAAAGAAGCTCAGGGGCGCAAAACTGTGTGATTAGATGATACAGCATTTTGTGGATCATAGGCACTCCGGACCGACCGCGAAGAGACGGGGAGGCGGCGGCTGCGTCTTGGCTCCCGAGCGTAACCGATTCATTTACGTATGGCGAGACGATCGTCAGTGCCGCTAGCGACGTGGAAGTCCAGTCACCCGCGCTCGTCCGTGAGGGAAACTCGTCGGATTTATTGCTTTCGATTTGGCTCGGTCTACTGGCGGTCGTTAGCTACACGGCCTACGGTTCAACAGCCCGGGCGGTTTCCTTCTCTCGCTCGTGGGTCTGTTTCCCCGTCGCGGAAATTCGAATGCTTAATGAAACATTCCGAATTGAGGTCAATGCGCGTAAAAAATGAGGGTTTCATCCTTTATTATACTCGAGTTTCCATTCTCTTTAGACATTACTTAATGGCCGTTTCCTGTCCCGCGACAATGTACTACGAGCGGGTTCCAGTACTTTAATCATCTGGTCTTAATCCTAAAAACAGTCATTACTTTCAGGTTTTTATCTTCCTTTGGATTACATAAAGTATTCTTCAAGTTTTATTATTCAAAATTGTGTGAATCGACAAGGGAGGATAATCTTAGTAGAATTGACGTGATAACTTTCTCCTGTTTCCCATTTTCTCATTGGGTTGCGCGTAGTTTTAGGGGATACTATCCTAAATCACGTTACCCGTTTTTGTCTCGATCAAATGGAGTTTTCCCATACACTTTAAAGACATATCCTGGTTATTACATTTCAAGCATCCTTCGACTGCATCTGTCTGACTTAACAACACGCAAAAATAACGGAACTTTGCTTACATGAATGAACTTTCTCATTAAACTTGTATGTGACATGACACTTTCTACCTCTAATGACAAGACATTACTCACGCACGATCATGGTCATATTGTCATACTGATGACTTGCCTTTCTGTTTAATGAATAAAAATAACACCCTTCTTAACAGTGTCTTACAGATTTAGAATAATTTATTAATTCTCCAATGAAAGAAGAGAGAAAAAATTATTACTTTCCTAAAGTCACCTTGGATGACCCAAAGAGCCTGTTGCCAGCACCTGCCGACTCAAGGTGCACTGCCACCTGCTTCCGGCACTGCATCCTCTTGGCACTCCACAAAAGGTCATTTGACAGGTACGCTTTGCTTCTCTGGATAGGTTTACGTAAGTCCAAAGGTGAGAAAAAAGACAAGGAAAAAATATGTTTTGATATTCTGTTTGATGTTGTCGACTTCTTGGAACTTTTTTTTCTTGTTTGGGTTTGTGCTTTTATCTTATTTTCTTTGTGTCTTTTCTCTTTGTTTGTCTGTTTGTCTCTTTACTCTCTTTCTCGTTTTTCTCTTCCCTCTCTCCTTCCCTTTCACGCTCTCTCGCACTACCATACTTTCTCCTTCTCCCTGCACCTCTTCTTTCTCTCTCTCTCTCTCTCTCTCTCTCTCTCTCTCTCTCTCTCTCTCTCTCTCTCTCTCTCTCTCTCTCTCTCTCTCTCTCCCTCTCTCTCTCTCTCTCTCTCTCTCTCTCTCTCTCTCCCCTCTCCCTCTCCCCTTTCCCTTTCCCTTTCCCTCCCCCCTTCTCCCACCCTCCCACCTTCTTCTCCCTCCCCTTCCCCCTTCCTCCCTCTTCCCTCTCCCTCCTCCCCTCCCCCTCCCTCTCCCTCCCTCCCTCTCCCTCTCGTTGCAAACCGAGGGTCCACTGTCTAGCGTGCAGCAGCTGCCCCTCAGAGGTCACGAGTTGTGTCCAGGCCGCTTGGGTGTTTGGCAATCCTCGTATGCGGAAAAGGGGGTATATTCACGGCGGGAGGAAAGGTTGTATGTCCATTGGAGAGAGAGAGGGAGGGAGGGAAGGGGGAGGTGGGAGGGAGAGAGAGAGATGGAGGGAGAGGTGGGAGAGAGATGGAGAGATGGAGAGAGGGGGGGAGGAAGGGGGAGTAGAATGAGAAGAGGAGGGAGGGAAGGGGGAAGAGAGAGAGGGAGGGAGGGAAGGGGGAGGGAGAGAGATGGAGAGAGGAAGGGGGAGGAGAGAGAGGGAGAGAGGAGGGGGGAGGGAGAGAGAGAGATGGAGAGAGGGAGGGGGGAGGGAGAGAGAGAGATGGAGAGAGGAGGAGGGAGGGAGAGAGAGGGAGAGGAAGGGGGAGGGAGGAGAGAGATGGAGAGAGGAGGGGGAGGGAGGGAGGGAGATGGAGAGAGGAAGGGGAGGGAGGGAGAGAGGATGGAGAGAGGAGGGGGGAGGGAGGGAGAGAGAGAAAGAGAGACACAGACAGACAGAAACAGAATGAAAAGAATAAACAGAGAAAAGAACGAGAGAAGACAGATAGATAGACAAACAGAGGAAAACAAACAGACAGACAGAGAAGAGAGAGAGAGAAAGAAGAGGTGCAGGGAGGACGGAGTAAGTTTGGTAGTGCGAGAGAGAGTGGAGGGGAAGGAGGGAGGGAAGAGAGAACGAGAAAGAAAGTGACAAATATGGATGTGTATGTAGAGCGTAGACACACATGCGCAGATGTACATACATGCACGGACATATACACATACACATACACGTATTCACAGACGTACATGAACACACACGCACACATACGCAAAAACACTTATAGACACACACATGTACAGATGTACACAGAGATGCAGAGATGTACACACATGCACGGACATATACACATACACAAACGTACATATACATGTACACACGTACACAATATACACACACACATACACACACGCATAGACACACATACACGCACACACACACAGACGAACACACACACACACACACACACACACACACACACACCACACACACACACACACACACACACACACACACACACACACACACACACACGGAAAAAAAAACTCACATGTATGTTATTTATTTAATTATTCAGATACGCGGATGAGAATATGTTGTATACATGATATATCCTGCTCTCGCTTTTTATTGGATATGCTTTAGGTACGTAGACACAGCTGTTTTAGATGTTATTTATGTAGAAAGCTGCGAGTTGTTGTTACGCGGAAACTTTTTTTTTTTTTTTTTTTTTTTTTTTTTTTTTTTTTTTTTTTTTTTTTTTTTTTAACCAGTATTTGAATGATCCCGTTCGTTTCAAGACATGAACACACACACACACACACACACACAACACCACCACACACACACACACACACACCACACAACACACACACACACACACACAACAAAATGCACACACAAACACAAAATGCACACGCACAAACACATACACACACCCACAAACAAATACACACACACGAGCAAAAAACGCACACACATAGACACAAACAAACAAACAAACAAACAAACCACACAACACACATTCCAAAGTCACAAACACATACGCTCCCAATCAGACCCACATACCATTTCAATACCATACCACATACCCCCCAAACAGCCAGACCCCCCCCCTCCCACCCCCCCCCATCCCCCCCGAGCCCCACTTCAAAAAAGAAATTTCTCCTTGTGAAAAAAAGTAATAAAATGATAATGATGATAACAATGATGATAAAGATGACGATAATGATATTAATGGTAATAGGAAAGTAATGACAATAATATCACCTGTAGTAGAAATGGTGATAATGATAAGAATAAGATCAAAATAAGACAGAATGATAATGAAAATAATAGCAATAGGAATAATGATATTGAGTAATAATTATTATGATAAAGGTAATAAAAATTGTACTAATGACAATTCTAGTACCGTTACTAGAATTACAACCAATATTAATGATAATAACAATAATGAAAATAATAACAATTAGAATAATGATAATAATTACAATTAGAACAATACCAATGATAATTAGAATAATAATAACAATGATAATTAGAATAATGATAACAATAACAATAACAAATAATGATAACAACAATAACAATAATGATAACAACAATAACAATAATGATAAAACAATAACAATAAGAATGATAACAACATAATAATGATAACAAAATAACAATAATGATAACAATAACAATAATAAAACAATAAAATAACAATAACCAATAATACCCATAACGACAAACAAGAAACTGAAAACAATACCAAAAAAAAAAAAGAAAAAAAAGAGAGAAAAGGGAAAAACCGCGAGGAAGCCCCCAGCGCAGGTCTTCCAAGCAGGGACCCCGCGGACCGGCTGTCGGAGGGCCAGCCTGAGGGTGCAGGTGTTCGCAGGGCGGCGGAGACAGGAAGGGCGGCTCCTCGGCTGAAGGTGATTGCTGAAGTGGGTCTCGGGGGAGTGGAAGGGAGGGGGAGGGAGGGAGGAGGGGTGTGGGGGAGGGATGGAGGGGGGGAGGGGGAGGGAGGGGTTTGGGGTTG